CCACCTTAGAACTTATTGTTGCTCCGTCCGTAAAGGCACACTCGAAGTCCAACTAGTGCAAAATCAAGGGAGAAAAGTGAAAGAAATGAAAAGTCTAGGTCTTTCGCATCCTATTTACAGAAACAGGAGGCACGAAAAACCTGAGAGTTCAATTATTGAGTCATTGCAGTCATAAATAAGATTACTTTTTGCATTAAATTCCTGTTTTTATCACAACGCTACTTTCAAGAAGCAAGAGAATTATGAAGCTAAATATGTGCACAAAAAAGTACTCGCACGAATGTCAAGAAAATCTAACAACACAGAAAGGACAACACGTGTCAATGGAGAGTCCGCCGATAGGAGATTCGGGGGTCCATGCATTCAACCGAAAGCATCAAGATCATAGTTAAACAAGGCAACCAAGCAGCCCAAACCCGAGCAGTTCGACCGGTCGCCAAATACAGGAGAACCTACGGACATCCCCTTGATAGAACTAACCCAAGGGGAAAAGCTAACCCCTCGGGTCTTGCAATTCCCTCAAAGGTATTCAGCAGCCACCCTGAATGCCATCAAGAGTCAGCAAGGCGAATCTCAGCCATCCCCCGAAATCTCCTCGTCCAAGGGCGGCCCCCAATTGGATTAAGGTGATTCGCCGTCTACCCGATAGCCTAGCTCTGCCCAACCAATAGAAACCTCCTTGTCAAGGATTGAGGGTCGACGACCAGACCTGATCAACCGATCGACCACTTGACCCGAGACAATCTCACAGACATTTTACCAGCAAGAATATAGCCAACATGCGGCATCAAACCTAGCCAATCGGCAGTCATCAGACCAAGTAGACCGACGGGTCTTTCTAGCTTAGCCGACCGAAAGCGTTTATCAATGGACTCCATAATCTAGCCACCCGAGCCTTAAAACCAACAGGTACTAGGCCCACGTATGCAAAATACATGTAATGACCCACACGAGCCCCAATAAAGCATAAGAAAATATGTAAATTCACACAAGATTCCTCTTTTCTCTATAAATAGAATATCATTCATGAGTAAAAGGTGACACACTTCCTCCAAATTACTATACATTTCTCTGTATATCTCTCTTTCTCTCTCATGTCTTACACTCTAATTCTTAGGTGTGATTCACAAACAAATCAGGATCCAACAATATATACATAACCATGACTAAGTGAGCCGCCCAATCTATATGATGTAGTAAGACCCAAACTTTAGGCATCTCTTTACATATAAAGGGTGGAGTAAATAAGGCACCTTATATCAAAAACTATTTAGGTGTGATCCTCTACAAACGATCGTAGAATAGAAAGAGTCCATAGCTCACGAACCAAAAATGTCGATCCTCTACATACAAGAAATGGTGTCAACTGGCTTAAGCCAATAGGAACTTTTAAGACTCAATATTCAACCTGAAAATAGAGTAGATAAAACCCCATACCCCAATAATTATTTGTGGCCCAATCCTCTATGTGGCTGAAGTAAAGTTGGTAGGGATTGTATCCCAAAAAATTTCAAAGCTCAATCCTTTATACATGAGTGATATCATTGACAAAAACAAATACAATAAAAGAAAATTACCATATGTCAAAAAAAATAAGCAGCATAAGCAAGACTTGCAATACAACTTCAAATGACAAAGAAAACACTAAATACTACTCATATTAGAAAAATAATTACAAGCAAAAGACAAATTTTAAGTAGATTCACGCCAACCATTGCAGACATTCATCATCTCAATCTAAATGTAAATATGCTTTTAAGGCCAAATTGAGGCCAACAAATTCACCCATCCACAGTCTCTTTTTCAAACCAATCATAAACAAATCAAATCATAACTTGTTAATTTACATCAAAAACTCAAGGCAAATACTTAACATAGCTTCTAACTCTTATAACGGCCATTGTTACTACAATCATATATGAAGGGGTTACCAAAACCAGTGAAGCTACCTACTACAAATCAAATAAGTAATGGACTATAAATTCTCGATGGCACGCAAAATTCTTATAAGATAACCAAAGGGAGTCAATATCCATACAAATCTTAAATGTTCAACATGCAAGGTCTTCGAGGGTCAACCGATCTAATCAACCATAAAGCATCAAACTTTAAAGGTCATGCAAGAATAAATTTTAAGTTTGCAATACCTCTGTAAATTGAGTTAAAAGTGAAACAGTGAGCAGCTTATCAACTTAAGGCCAGACAGAATAATGATGGCCGAGCTTTCACAGTTTTTGACAATCTACCCTACCAATAAGCCAAAACATAGTCATGTAAGGTAAGCCCCAATTGACACTTGATGGTCGAGCTAATGTTTTAAAACTTCTCTAGTTTAGCAAGTCATGGAAAGTCAAACCAAAATAAAGGGTTTTTAGTAATTTAAGAAGTCTATGGTTTAGATGACAATGTCAATCTAATAGGATCTCAACTTTAAATCTTAGGGCTTCATATAAAAAATCAATCTTTCAAATACAAGGCAAATACTACAAGGTAGTTCTCCTGATGATGGACGTGTTAGCATCAATTTCAACTTGATGGGATTGTATAATAAAAATTCCCACAACTTCCAATGCATTCAGGCTCTTTCCTTTCAAAGTTAGGCATATTTAAAGTAAAATTATAATAACCAAATTGAGCTTTATTCAAACCTACCCTTGGAAAAAAAATAATAAATTAAACAATAAATATATATATATATATACCAAAAAAATCATGAAAGAACAAACCATTTGGTACATATACTTAGCCACTCATCCATCCTATACACCATTTTACCAAGGACTTCAAATTTAAGCTTAACTAAAGCTCACGAAAAACTAATATCATATCAAGTGAGTCCATATTGTTACATTTAAAATCTCACAAAAATAAAAACATTGTACATACACATTGATCAGGTGGTCAAACTGATTACAATGTCACTATTATATTATAAGTACAACCTAAACTCGAATACTATGCAATGGCTAAGTCTATGAGTATATGAGTTATAAGACACATGAAAGGACATGAAACCCTTAATTAACCATGATTGACTTAAAATAAGTCCCCCATAGGCTAATTTTCCTTCAAGTCTATAAGATCTCCTAAAATAATGCAACATATGATTATTTACAAGAATCTTTCAATTTCATTGGATCGACAATCTATGTTGACTAAATACATTAAGATTCACGAAAAATTGATATTATAAAAACATAACCATAGAGGATTATACCTATGATAAATCCTCAAATTAAGTTTTAAAATTCTCTCAAAAAGACAAAATAGTTGGATATAAATCCGCCTTCTAAAAATTCAACCTATAACAGCTTGAATATTCAACAAGAAAACTAGGCAGGAATTTTCTAAGTACAAAATGATCATGCAATCATAAATTCTAATACCAATTTGATCCAAAGATTGTTTAAGGTTAGGGCTCCCAATGCAGCTAGAATAATACTAAAATCATGCAAGAAAACATATAAATCATATATCATAGACCACAAAATAAGGCAACAAATCCTTTTTTAAATGAAATAACAACTATGAAAATTAGAATGCAAATTATAATGTAATGATCGAGTAAATTCAGAGAGTTCTACAAAAAAACTGAACTATGAAAAAACAGTGAGCAATTCTAAATGAAATGCAACATTGAATTTCAAGCTATCAAATTTGTACTAAATCAAGAACACCGATAAGATAATAACAAGTTATGTAGAAGAAATCATATGAAGGGAAGAAGTTATCAGAGTAAAGATACAATGCCTTGCGAGTAAAGCCATACTCAAGCCAAATTGAGTATATCATAAATTGAACTTTGCTTATTAATATTATATGTTGTTCATATTCAACTCGAGCTCAAGCCAAGCTTTCACTTATATGTTCATACTTGACCTGCTTATTTTTGAAATAATTGTTCTTGGTTTGTACTTGATAGTCTTGACTTTTTATTTTATTGGACGAGTACTTTAGCAAGTTAATAAAAAATTTAAAATTTTGAATGAGAATTTGACATTTTATACAAAGTTACTAGCAAATAATTTATAAATATAAGAAAATAAGCAATCAAATAAGTTTTGAATCAGTATTTAAGTAATTTACACCAATTAATTAAGATAATATATAAATTAAAAGTAAATTCTCTTGCAATCAAATAATATAAGAAAAATGCTATCAAACTAATTCATTGAAGTAAAGAAATAGGAAGGAATTACATCAGATTAATATGACGATTGTTTTTAAATTATTAAATGTTAATATTAAAAATATAATTTAAAAAATTTTAGTTATTTAAATTTTATTTAAATAAAATATCATATAACTAAGGATCATTTAACAAGTTACTTATTAAACAACAAACAAGTTTGTTCGTAAACTTAAATAAACAAGTTGTCTCATGTTTATGTTTGGTTCAATTAATCTTCGTGTTTTTAAGAAATGTCTAAAATTATTTTTACTGATTTGAACAAACTTGATCGAGTACAAATCGAGCCAGTTCGAGTTAATCATCAAAATGCATTGGCTCATTTTCAGCCCTACTTGTGAGGGTACAAAGAGACCTTATCCCACATAATCTCATTTGTATAACGGTAAAAGAAATTACAAATCTAACTTGAACACAAAATTAAAACTCAAAAAAAAAATTATGTTCATTCCATGATATCAAATTGCATGCCTCAAAACATCTATTATAGACACCTCATACCTAACTTAGTAAGTGTGATTGGTACATGATCAGCTTCGAAAGTTATAAATAATCTGAATATTCAAGTTGATAACCGAATAACAAATCCAAAGTTTGGTATTTACTTTGAATTTTAAAATTCCAATGAAAATCATTAATTCCATCTTTACAAAACCACAACCACTCTTCAGACATTTCAAAATAGTCCCATATTATATGCCAAATCAAAGTGCTTTGCTGAGCTCGAAGATAATATGCATGAATCGTATGTTTAGTTTATTTCCATACTCCCATAGCTCAATGTGCTAGAAAAAAAAAAGATAGACCTTACTATATGTGCAAGAATATTTCCAGTTGTAAGCCTTCCTGATCCATAGATGACTCCTGGATAAAGAAGAACAATAGGAGCACCATTAGTAGCAGCATCCAATGCAATCTTGTCTGCAATGACCTTCGATTTCTCATATTCGGTGCAAAATAGCTTGCCTTGATGGACCTGTAATGCTAAGGATGGTAAGCAACTATCTCATTTGGGAGAATCATGAGGGAAAAGTATTAAAAAAAATAAAAACATTTATGAATATAGCTATCAAAAGGCATAGATGCGGAGGGCAACTTTGAACTATAGCATATATTGGTCGAGAGACTATCATAATAGAAAAGGATAAAAGTACTTCTCAAAGAAAGTCGACAAGAAAAAAAGCCTTCTTGATCAAAATATTACATGAAACAATATTAAAAGAATAAAAATATAATTTCCTCACCTGTTGCTCATCTGCAACATAGCCATCAGTGAAGCCAAGAGCAAAAAAGGATGATGTATATATTATTTTCTTGATTGTCTTTGTCTCTTTGGATGCCTGTAAAATGTTTCTTAAGCCACCCACATTTACCTGAAAAGGTCAATGTTATAATAGCCATAATTATATTAAGAAAGAAAATATCTTTATTACCATCAGAACGTATGGAAAGAGACAACCCACAAATATAAATCAAGAAAAACCAAAATTACGTAGAAAATCCTAGACATGAAAAATCACAGAAGAAGGAGAAAAATTCTCTATCTCAAAAAAAGAAGAGTCACAAGTAGATAGATTTTATAATTCGGCATCTCATATATATATATATATATATA